TAATGCAACCCAGCTTGACTCTCCAAGACCATACCCCTTCATAGAATCAGGCTTGTCAATCACAGCTCTGGGTGAGGCTCTGACATGATTGGCACCTTGTAGGCTGTGTGCGGGCTCTGAGAGACTATACAGAAATACTAGTGTCAGGAGAAATTCTTTTCCACATCGCTGCTCAGCCAGGGTGTTGTGTGTGCCTGTGTTAAGTTGCTGAGGGCTGAAGGCTGCTGTTTGCCATGCAAAGTTTTAGTGAGAGAAGTGGGGCTGGATGTTGACCGTTATGTATTCAGAGTTGTAGTATGCAGATATGCAATCCTGCACACCATCCTGTGGAACAGATACGATGCTTCAGTGGTTTCCAAACTCCCTCAGTGGACCCACGTTTCCAAAGTAATCTTCCTTCCAACCCAAAATTATTGTTGTAGACTACTGTGCAGGCTGGTCTAATCTTTCCAGATTTTAGAGGAGTAAATCAGCAGCAGATAAAATGTCTCATTCTGCCTTTTCTGACAGAGGAGGATCTCAGGAAAGTCTGGCACCATAAAACACCTTTTCAAACTCTTCATACTAATGATTTTTTCCAGATTTTCTTCAGTACACATGGACATTTTTTCTATCCTGTTACACTCTGGGCTAAAAAAAGATGATTCTTGATGATGTTTCTGGTTTCAAGCATTAGATGAAATAGAGAATAAAGCATGCTATTGTTGAAAAGATTCTCTGAATTTAATTACGATAAAATTTTCTGTTTTACATATGTGAGAGGGAAAACCAAGTTGCTTGCCTGTGCCTTAAAGACACCATGACACTTAAAATTTAAGCTGCCTTGTTTTCTTTTTGACATAACGTATGATCTGTAGCTACAATGAGAAATGACAGCTCTCTTTTATGGCAAATGACATGATCAAGAGTTTCCTTTGCTGATCTTTGCGTTAAACTGAAGTTTATGTTGCCCTTAGGCTTCTATGGTGATGGAAAGAATTGCACACATGCTGGTTTCGTTATTAAAATGAATTAGTGATGAATCACCCTTATGCATGAATCATACATCAACCATAGCATAGTTTTATGTATGATGATAAAGATACAAAAAACAGAAATACATGGAAAAATAACATATTATCAATATTATAGACTGAGATGCCCCAAAATTTTGCAGATCATGTTTTCAGGGGGTGAGCAGTACACCGGTGCAGTGGTTAGTGCTGCTGCCTCATAGCAAGAAGGTCCTGGGTTCGAGTCCTGGCCGACCTGGAGCCTTTCTATTCTATTCTACCTGTGCCTGCGTAGGTTCTCTCTGGGTACTCCAGCTTGCTCCTACAATCCAAGGACATGCACCTTAGCTTGACTGGTGACTCTAAATTGTGAGTGTGTGTACTTGTCTGTCTCTACATGTCAGCCCTATGACACACTGGTGACCTGTCCAGGGTGGACCCTGCCTCTCACCCAGTGTCAGCTGGGATTGGCTCCAGGCCCCCCACAACCCTATTCAGGAATAAATGGTATAGATAATGGATGGATATTTTCAGGGGAGCCTGTAGTTTGCACCATGAGAAATATCAATCAATCAAGTCAGTAAATGCACACATTTCACAAATTGACTATATATGTAACTTTTTGTATAAATAGTGTATATTTGTTGCTTTTGGATGTCCTGCACAGTATATTGAAACGGTTACTATACATTGTTTTAGCATATTTTTCAGTATATATTGAAGCTTCAAAATATTTTTTTTACACCTAGTGACCCTGGTGGTCTGCAAGGACTAAATCTGGGAAGTGACTAAGGTTGTACACAACAAGGTTTAGGAGCATACAGTATTGGTGGGTGGGGATCTCAGACCCATTAAATACAAATGAATGCACCCAGGATCTAAAAGTCAATTTGGATTTTCTACCAACCAATTTGCTTAAACTGTTGTTATAACCTGAATTTTTATTATGCTATTTCCTACTCATAGGTTCTCCTGCAACAGGCCCAACAGCACTGCAAGGCAGATGGGAAAAAATAGCTATCGCACAGAGGCCTATTGCTTTTCATCTACATCTGTTCCAGGGTCCTGCTCGGGAGACAGCCAGCTGTGGAGGCTGTGTGAGAAGTTGAAAGGAAACTTTAGCTGCCCTGGGAATCTCACACCATTTCTCAGGATGAATCAAATGAGGAGCACTTTGGTCGAACAAAAAGAAACCAGCTGTCTGGAAGTGCCTCATCTTTACGACGATGCAGCAGCACATGATCATAACCAAGTTTGGCCACCATGAAACGTTCAGTTTGCCTTTACAGGAACATTAGAGATGATCTGCCAAGGTCCAGTTTTGAGGGATGGGGGCAGAGTTAAGCTGATCTATTGTACTTTAGCCTTTAAAATATATGGGGTGTAGCTAGCATAGACAGCAAAGGCCACCTGTAACTCTTTCCTTTCCCTAGGTAGTATGAAAATACATTGTGCCCACATCAAGCCTCCTGACTTACTTCCACCAGACTGCACAGGTGCAACTTTAAAAAGTTCGCTCTGAAGGTGGGCTGGACACCTGCAGTTAAAAAAACCTGTCTACATCTCTGCCCTCATTTTTTTCCCACTTCTTTTCCCAAGAACTCTTTTCTCTCGCATGATCATTTAAAGGGCAGGGAAATATTGTGTTGCACTGGTTGACAGGTGACCATTTACATTCTGTACTAATTGTTGCATGTCATGATGATGACTGATGAGGAATGAAGCCCTCTGTACACACAAAACATGGGCTGTAACACTGTAGGACTTATGGGTTGAATGTTGTGCTGCTCTCAGGTACTCTTTGTACTTAATCTTTCTATCTGTTATCTACAATCCAAGTCGCAGATAACAAACTTCTAAGGATGCCATGGAACGAGTAATAAATCGTCCTGATCATCTGAAATTGTAACTCATTCTGCAAAAGGTCACTGCTGTTCTCCAACCCTGTACCAGACATGGTGATCTCGTGCTGACCTAATCAGGTCCATAAAAGAGATAAGGGTCTCTTGCATCCTCAGGAAGTACAACCTATAAACATTAAGGTTTACAGCCTGTAAAAGTCAATAAAAAACTTGCAGAAGTCATGGACTGAAATAAATTGCTCGGTATGACTTGACAAGTTTTTCTGATTCATTTCATTTACAATGAATGGACAGGCAATTGTGTGTACATGTTTGAGCATGGAGCTCTTACCAGACAACAGTTCTCTTCGTAAAGAATAAAGAACACATCATGCAATTAAAAAACAGATAGAATACAGTAAAAAAAAACAACCTCAAAATCTCTAAGACCAGCAACTGAATAAAATAAAAGTAGAGAGAAAACAAAGTTAAATAAAATATAGATGGCAGCAAATTTCTTTTAAGATGTGTTTTCCTCCTTTCTGTGTATATTCTTACTTCATGTACAATTTAATAGTTTAGCAATTCATCATTTTCCAGACATGAAGAACAAAAACAATGACAGCTAGTCTTGAATGTGAATGAGACAAGCTAATCAATGGTCATTCAAGCAAAGGTCGTGCTCCCTGCAGAGGAAGTGCACCGTTATCATCAATCTGGTCAGAAGGCCCTGCATGAGAAAGGAGCTGGAGGTCGTAGGCGGGGTTAAAAGTTTAGTGCACTGTAGGTATATTCAGACCCCTTCACACCCCACCACCACCAACACCACCACTGTCTACATGTCAATGGACCTGCTTGTTGACTTGTTTTGTTCCACTTCCACAGAAGCCTCTTGTAGCTTTGTTGTCAATTATCATTTGTTTTTTATCATCCTCTGTTTCCTTCCTCTTCTCTGTTTTGACCAACTTGGCTGTCTGCTCCAGGAGGGAGGGAGGTCTGCTGCATGGGAGAGGGGTGGGTGATGGGGTAGAGGGATGAAGGAGGAGGGGGGTAAGACATATTGAGTTTGTCAACTCAGGCAGAATGATCGGCAGGAAGCCAGGCAGGAAGGAAGACGAGCCTCTCCCTGTGAAGTGCCATTGTTTATGTGACGTGACTTGAAGCGGCCAAAAGTGACTGGTGGTGGGTCCTCTGCTGCTCTGACCCACTTCTCAGAGTGGCACATAACGCTCCAACTGCAGAGGGGAAACACAAAAGAGGAGTTAAAGCACAACAATGTAAACCTTGTTCCAGTCATAATGAGCTGAATAAAACTCACCATGTGGTGCTTCCTCTGAGAAAAATTGTTTTAAACTTTAGAGCATATACATCACAGTGAGGTGTGATGAAAATTATCTGTAAGTCCTCCAAAAAAAAAATTTTTTTTGCTGAACTGATTTTGACAAAAAAATAAAATTGATCCTTGGCTCACAATTTTAAGTCATATGCTTTCTAAAGAGAACTTTTAATAATATTCTACCCTTTTTTTAATCTTAATTTTGCAACAACTATCCATGACTATGAGTCATTTAGACTACTGAAACCTAAGCTTTGGGAATGATCAGGGTTTTGGTCCAAAATGAAAAAGCAAACACTTATTTACAGCTTGACCAAACTCTAACTCCACATTTTAACCTTGCAAACCTTATATTTAACTATGATGTGTCCCACATCTTAACCAACTGCTGTGTGTTGCCAAAACATAGCAATATAAATGTTAATCTTACTTTAGTTGCCAGAATACAGCTCACAGTGAATTTTTGCAGATAAACCATTTGCACATTTTTTTCATAATGGTGACAGTAAATATAATTCAATGAACCATTCGGCCAAATTTTGGCAAATGACTCCTAAGGTTAACTTTACTTAAGTGCCTTAAAACAGTTGGCTACATAAAAATATTTTACAAATGGGTATAGACAGAAAAAGAAAAGTCAAGGTGTAACTCTCTGTTTTCTCTTTTACACATATGTTCTTTTCTTATAATATTAACTTTAAAAATCAATGAGTAGCTTCTCTTTCCCAAAGTGGTATACCATTGGTTTACAATGATCATTCACTGTGTTATGTCCCACCCTGGACTTCCTACTTTAACAGGAAACATATCATAAGCAGGAAGTGAGTTTCCTTCAGCACATGCACCTCATTGGAAATTTAAATGCTAAGAAACACTTTTATCCTGGAGAGTTACATGAAGTGACTGCATGTCCTCTAGTTTCCTGCAGAGTTGAGTAGTGAGGTAATGAGGGATAGTATTAGGTTTATGTGAACTCAATAAGCTTTTTCCCTAGGAGTGCTGTTTCTTATCTGTCAGCAGCCAGCTGAGTTTGAGGCCTGTGTTTTCCCAGTGATGTGTTTTCAGTTTCATGGGCAACAGTTGCACCTGTTGATGATTTCAAACTGAACAAGAGATTGATTCCAGACATTTGAAGGATCCCAGTTCTTTGAAGGCCTCTGGTTGGAGAATGGTTTCACCGATGGGACGGCAAGTAAGCTAGTTTGACTGATTATGTTAGATGTTAAGGTTTTGTCTTGTCTTTATTTTTAGTAAATGCCACTCAATTTGTTCTTCCTAGCTGTTCATCAAAATGAAGTAATATTTAAAAGTAATATAATGCATGTCTAAACTGTTTGTTCATTTAACAAAACACCGTGCTGTAGTCAGCTAAAAAATTACTTTGCACCTTTTTGTTACAATTAAAACCAGAGATTCTATACACACATAGAAGCTGTACTGAGATGCATCACATTATATATTACATTGATCAGTTTGGCCTGTGTGTTGTGTTTTGGCCTGCCTGGATGTTCTAATAGAAGAAAGGCCAAAGCCAAGCAGGCAACAACATTTTCCAAGTAGTAATTTCACAAGAAGTATATTTTACTGTACTTTATGTATGAATGTGCTAAATTTGATTTAAGAAGATGCTGGAAATTATATCCATGAATCAGCCGTGTGACTGTATGAGTTAGCATGTTAAGTGGCTTTAAAATGGTTTCATAGCAACAGGACATAACCTGTCCAAACTGAAATTTTAGCTAGAAGAACAGAATTGTGTAACGTTCGTGTTTTCCTGATGGACCTAATGTGTGTAGGTTCCCAAAAGATAAAAGGAGAAGACAGGACAGTAGCACTGAGCAGAGCTGTCTGCAGCTGTCATTAGAACACTGTGACAGGACTGGACAGACAATGTGTATAAAGGAAGGAGTGATCCTGATCATTTTTACATTTCCAGACAGTGTAAAGTTAGTGCCACTGGCAAATGGTTCCAATATAGATGCAGCTCTAAGTCATTTCTCTGTGCTTTTGTTTTGAATTGTCCAAAACGTGTTTATCAGAATGTATCATTGTTATAGTGCTACTCTGCACAACACCTCTCGCTCACTGTGCACTGTGTAGAAATATTTTATATAAATAAAATGTGAATTAGGTAAATATGACCATCCAAAAACAAAATCCACATTAATGAAACCAAATATTCTGTATGATCAATACATGTCTGGCATTTGTAACAAACCAAACGGCTTTAAATTCAGGGCGTTATGATTATTTGGGGACAGACTTTCAGCTTGATGCATAAAGGCTTGCAGCATTTCCGTTCCAGCACAGGGGCCACACTGATGCATGACGGTGATGGACAGAAGTGGCTTATGCAGCATCTATGTGTATATATATCTATGATTAAAACAAATGCAACAGTCAACAAAGATAAGAATTATATCCAGCGTCTGTGCTTTCTGGTTTTGACCATCCTTCCTCAGGTTTTCCAGGGTGAGACAGTTCACTTGGACCTCCACCTGCACTACATGGGCAATGATGAACTCTTCTGGTCTCCATCTGCTCACCATTTCAAACCAAACCACCTTTGGAAGGTTCTTCTGGCTCTGTCAAGCATTTGGCCTCATCTTCCCTGACTGAAGATCAGCCAGATAACATCATCTCCTGACCAATCGGACGCCTAGATCCATACCTCATCCCACAGGTAGGCTTTCCAACAGAGGAGAGCATTGCTTTTATTGTGAGCCAACCAATAGTAGCATGGAGATGTGATCCAGGGCTAAAATGGGGCCAACCAGTGTTTAGTGGTGTTAGTTGAGGTAATGTTGAGTTGGGATAGTGTGTCAGTGCTCAGTGTGCATACAGCTGCTGAGCTGAATTTAGCTTCCAGTGCTGTGGCTGTGCCTTGAGTATATACAGATGCTGTTTGGTATATGAAACTGATCTTCTGTACTCTACGTGCTTAGTTCAGTATTCAGTTTATAGATGGTATTGAAGCTTGTAAACCTGAATGTAGTGAACCTAACCTCATGCAGCAGTCTTGCTAAACTTATTTCAGCTTTTTGAAAAATGTTAAGTGAGGAGCTGAGCTCATAAACAATCTGTTCACCAAAAAAACAACAACAAACAAATAAATTCCTTCAGCTTTCACAGAGATCGTTTCTACAGTGGAAAGTAGTTCCATTGAAAGCTTTGGCTGATTATATAGGGAAACAGGGACACTGTTTCTGTAGAGACAAGATGCTGGATTGGCAAGATGTCATGTCTTCATATAAGCATCTAAAACCAGAATTCAATTCGCCTCCATTGGGTTGGTGTTGATGGGTCAAACAACTACATGCTAGGTCTTACTACAGATGAGAAAACATGTTTTTGTGATTTAGGTGAAGTAATACTTTAAAACATGCACATTTCACGCTGCTTACAGCTGATATTTGCAAAGATGTTCATTTTAACCTTTGGGTTAAACCAGTGGAAGGGTTTCATCCCCTCAGGAAAGCTCAGATTGTTTGTTTTATCTGCACAGTTTTAGAAACATTCACTATTCTTGTCTGAACTTTCTTGCACTCCTTATGTTGTCTAGCCTGGTGCACATTTTCCATCTGTCACCTAAGCAGTATATAGCACCTTGTAAAAAGTATTTACTAATAATATTTGGCCAAGGTCAGTCTTGTGAAACACTAACTCTTGCAGTTTGCAGTTAAATATTGGACTCGTACTCTTTGGTACTGTAGTGACAGCCCCCTCCTCTTCACCACCTCCGCCACCTTTCCCTTCCTCCTCCTCCCCCTCTGTGTGCATTAGGGACCAAACAGACGGCCTCTGTTTGTTTCCCCTCTGGTCTTTCCTGATTGCACGACCAGGCAAATTCCGGTCGGCTCTAATTTAGCCATTCAACAGCCACCGAATTAGAGAGAATACCCATTTGACACATGCTTCCACTTTTCTGTTTGTTGCCTTCCTTCCCAAAGTCTGCTGAATTTGTACAATTTCACCTTCATTAGGCTGCATTTCAAGCTGCAGGGCACAGGTAATGCAAAGCATTTCCCCCTTCAAATAGTAGACTCGAGCTTCGGTTGCTAGGAAGTGGAAGAGCCTCAATTGCAGCCATTTCCTTGCCAGTGTACCAAGAGGTCCTATTACAGTGTTTAGGTCAGGGAAATTGGTGTCATTACAGGCAGCTAACTTCCCTGGACCAAAGTAATGAATAATCCCAAGCTATTTGGGCTGTATGATTGCAGTTGCCAGGGGAGATGAGTATGAAGTGGGGGATAATTATGGTATGTATTGCTAAGCGGATGTGTGCTGGTGTTTGGCAGCCACAGGGGCGGTTTCCACACTTGTGTAATGGCTTAATGTAGCTGCTGACAGGCAGCCGGGCAACATGGAAAGGTGCTACTGTGCTCTGCTGGTGGACTGTGACTGACATGCCAAACCGTGCCAGCCGGTTTTAACCCTATTTAACCTTGTTTGGATCATTTACTTCAAATGACTCCGTCCACTGTCCACTGTCCTGTTAGTTATACTCATGATGGTCATGAGTATAACTCGTGGAATATAATTGTTTACAGAACCTTTTAAGGTAATTTGCATGGTAATAGAGTGTAACTTTTAGTTACCTATAAACTGTGCTCAAACGTCATTAAGAGTTTCACTTTTTTATAAGCTGTTGATAAAGGCAAGGAAACTAGTAACTCATGGAACACTGATAAATTTGTCCAGCAATAAAACAACCATGAACTTTGATTGCACGATTGGCACATCCATAAAAAGCGGTGAAAACAATAACCAGAAGGTGCTGCTTAATTTACAGCGACGACTCCTGGTGGGGGACAAACTAATAAAAGTATCAATGATAAGCATGTGGTTTATATGCAGTAAGGTTTCTTGTGCTGATTTAAAGAAAGGAACAAATACAGCCTGAATAAATGAGCGTTGACAAATTTGTTAAAGAAAACAAGGAGGCCAAAAGCCTGGGGTTTGAAGCTCAGAGCTGAATTGCAAGTAGGAAATGATGCCAGTTGAGGCTTGTTGGGCCATCTATGGGCTTCTTTCCAAGCTGCTGTAACCAGCCATAAGTCTTTTTATGGGGACACTCTAGAACAGGCCCTCCCTAAGGACAGGAACTTTTACATTTCTGCTTGAGTGGGAGCTCTGCCAGGGGCTAAGTTCAGGCTTGAAGAAATATTCCCTCATTTTCATACTTTTTTCTTATTTTTATTTTTTTGTTTCAGTCCAGCTGAAGGGAAATAGGAGAAAAACCTCGTAAACTGTGGGACGCACACATGCACATTTAATTTCTGGCTCTCCACCGCTCCCTCTGTTTTCCTCTCCATCCTGCAGATCATATCTCATGTCAGTAAGAGCAGAAAAAAGCACAGCCTGATTATTTCTCAATACAAGCACCATGTGTCTGCTGCATCCATATGTCTGTAATTGTGTCTCATATGGCAGCTGCTTTTTACTTTACTTTTAATGAAATTTTTTTTCTTTTGGCAAAAAAACTGATCATGTTTCATGATAACAATTTCATATAATACATGTTTGTCAAACATTTATTCTATTTCAGCAGTCGAGCTGACACACCAGTTTGTTCTCCTTGTCTCAAAACACTCAACAACTTCATGTCCTTGGTTAGAGAGTGAGTCTGTGCTGAAGTCCAACTTTATCCACAAAGACCCTTAAAACAAAACCAAGTCTTGTTACAGGGCCTCCCCATATCACAAACCCACCACAGATTTAATCAACACATGAAAGAAATTTTGGTTGAGGAAAAAAGGATGCAATTTCACGCTGTGGCATAGTTACTGTAGCTCTCTGTAGAGTGGGTCATTTGTAAAACAGTTGCATATATCTCTCCAGCGATCAGCGCTGAGCCATATTTTCATCCTATCTTTGCTGGTAAGCCACTGTTGGTAGTATCCTGCCAAATAGCACCAAAAGCAGGGCAGTCTGCATGATGTCACCTGGCGGTACATCACCGGTTCGAAATTTTGATGAGAACTTTAATTCAAATAATTTGGACATAATTTTTAAAAGAACTGTTCCACAGAGCATCAAAGCCATAATGAAAACCTCAAAGCTTATAAATGTGTGTTGTCATCATGGTTTAGAATCTGAATACTTTTGTACATGTGACAGATTAAGCTTTAAAAAGAAAGAATTGGAAATACCAAAAATGTCTGCAATGAAAATAATCCATTTAGTTACTCCACTGTATTTCCTCAGTAGAGCTCTACATGTTAAATTAAGTTTGATTCAACTTCATTTGAGATGTAAATAAAACCTGTGGATGAAAAAAGAAATCTTTATTTCAGGGGGATACCGTAAATATTTTCTTAAACTTTAAAAAGGTCTTCCTGAGCCACAGAAGATGTAATACAACAGTTGTCATGGGCAGAACATTACTCTGGATGAGTAAATTGATTATCCTGTGTGAATATAATATACAGTGGTTACATCAAATGCTTCTCACTACTCAGTTTAGTGGTTTTTCAGTTTAACTAGTGAAATACTTGCTTTTGGCCTGTTTTGTTATATTTCTTGAACAGTGAATATACAGTGTCACAGGTGTGATTTGCTTGTAATGGAGCCATATTGTTTGATATTTTCAGATGCTGTGAAAATATAGATGCTGTCAAACTAGTGAACATCTTATGCACAGTTTCTGATATATCTGATTACGTGCATAAAAAAGCCACTTGAGCCAGAGTTGGTTCAAAAGGTGCATCCAAATAATTCTTGCCTTTTGTTTTGATCTATGAAGAGCACCAGATGGAGTGCATTTTTTCCATATTGGCATATGCAAGAAGTACCAGTAACTTAAGCCAGTCTGAACATCAAATCATTGTGCTGCTCTGTGGTTCTCGGAATATTTGGAACAAATCAGGTTATCCTGATGTAATAAGAGCCGCCCGTCCGGTGCACCGACCTGATTACAACAAACCAAATTATTTGATTCAAGCCTGACTTGGTGTTTTCGTAAACTGTGGCCTGTAATGGTTAGTGTGTTGTGAGGATGAGGTTGTACACATCACAGTGTGTGAGAGAGTTCCACTTCTACCTCTGGAAGAGAATGAGGGTACTGTGACAGCTTGATTGATGGTCTCTTTTGTACATGCTGCTTGCAGAATAATATGATTTTATGTGGTTGTGAGGCTGTTATTGTTGCTTTGGACCACTGCAGCAATTAGCAGTTACCCATTGCATTCACTGTATGATAGGGGTGCAGCATGTCTAAGTGGATGTGTGCATGGGAAAGAGAGCGTTACAATATATGAGTGTTTGTAAATGTGAGTGTCAAACCTCAGGAGCTGTGATTTCAAACCACACTTGTCATTTCATGAGAACTGTTTGGGCAAATGTTGGCAGTGATAAATGAAATATGAATCTAAACTTTGCCAATAAACTATTCAGAGCTGTTCAGTGCAAGAAACAAAATGGCATACAGTAAATTAATGAATCTCAGTTTGGAGAATGGAATTAAGAAATGGAACTACTAACTCTCACAATCTATCACTTGAGTGATAGATTGGATCCCTGAACTCTCACAATCTATCAAGCTATAGGAGGATTACCTCAGTTCAACTCTTTCAAATCTAAACTCATGAAAAAAAAAGTTAAATTATGTGATCATCACGAGGCACAAACAACAACATTCACCAACTCATATACTATGTATATGTAGCCTACTAACGTCTCACC